TGCGGGCCCAATGGGGTCCCCCGATCGCTGAGCGCGAAGCGGTAGCAGCGGCTTGTGCGCCCAGGTTTGGCCACCCCGCGTCCCCCGTTTTGCCGCGCACCAAAGGTCACTCTTACCCAGGGTCACTCTTACTTGTAGCCGACTCTTGATACGATCGGGGCGGGTACGTGCAGAAAGAATGGGGACGAAGACCGGCCGCGGCTCTTGTCCATCGGGGACAGGAAGCGCTGTTGGTGTCGCTACGGACGTTGTCGACCACAGTGGGGGCCCATAACACCTTGCTTGCCTCCAGGGTTCTGTGGGTTTCTTGGGTTTCGATGGTTTTGCTACAGAAAGCGTGGCGTTCCCACACCAAAAATCAATGGACGTCCTGTTGGGTTTCCTGTGGAAGGTTCCTCGTGGACTGACCTCCACTGCGCATGAGTCCAATAACTGCTTGCCTAGCACCCAGCGCTGTCGGTTTTGGGCAACGTGTGCTAGTGTTAGGTCGGGCGTGTCCCTCGACAGGAGGAAGATTCAAAAATAGTCAAACAAATAGTCCGGGGACGATTCTCGACTACTTTTGAAAATGTGGGGGGTATGTTTTGACTACTTGTTATTTGTCGTCCAAGATCCCCCTGTAGGGGGACGTGCCCGACCTGATGCTAGTGGGCATCGTGATCGCTTTTCTTCAGAGCGTGAATTACCTACCCCGCTTTCGGTTCCAGGCAAAACCAAGTCATACCACGCGCCTGCTCGTCAAGCGGCCTGACCAGTACAGGCCGTAGTTTGGCATCGCTTGGCATCTCTTGGAAGCGAGGGTGGTCAAAAGCGAGGTCGGTTTGTTCTCCCTTCACTTCTTGCATGTGCCCACGCCAGGCGCGAGGACGGCAACCCGGGGGGGCCAAGAAGCGCGGAGGCACCGAGGATCGGGGAAGCGTAAGACTCGAGTACGCCGGAACTCGGATTTGCCGACATTTTTTGACGAGCGTGTCCTGGATTTCGACGCTCCAGTTTTCGTTGGACGTGTGCAGCGGGAGCTCGCGTCAGATTTCAGATGGGGTCTCGCCATTTTTATGGTGGCCCCGTCAGGCCAACCCGAGTCCTTCGTACCCGAGTCTCACGCCTCCCCGCAAATGGTGTAGACCGGCGTTTCTAGACCTTGCCGCTGGGCTCGGTCGCGGCGGGAGAACGGTGTGCAGTGGGGGCCCACGCCAAAACCCGCCCCGGTTGCCCTCAGGGTGCCCTGGGTTTCTGTGGCCTCGGTGACTTTGGCCATGGGAAGTGTGACCTTCCCACGCCGAGTCCCCCGTACCCGAGTCTTAGGTCTCCCCGAGAGGGCTGCAGCAAGCAGGAGAGCGGCCCCCAAGACGGGCCCCGCATGGTTTCCCAGCTGCCACCGCGGGCCCAAGCGGGCCATCGCGAGCAGGGGTCCAGGGAGCCGCCGACGCTTCGGCGACGAGGCTTCTCCTTCACCTCCTCCTCCTCCTCCTCCTCCTCCTCCTCCTCCTCCTCTCTCCTCCTCCTCTCTCCTCCTCCTCCTCCTCCTCCTCCTCCTCCTCCTCCTCCTCCTCCCTCCTCCTCCTCCACCTCATTCTCCTCCTCCTCCTCCTCCCTCCTCCTCCTCCTCCTCCTCCTCCTCCTCCTCCTCCTCCTCCTCCTCCTCCTCCTCCTCCTCCTAGGGTCGCCTACGGCCCCGGCGGAAACCGTGCAAGAAAGTCAGGCGATCGCAGACATGGATCAAGGGGGCGTGGATTAGCGACGGGTCCCGTTTCCATGGGGAATCGCGGATTTCCGCCGCCGAGCGAGGCGGCACACCAGCCGCATTTTGGAGGGCACCTCCCCCGATCCATGGATTTGGCGACCGCGCGCCAGGTCCACGGATCGCTATCTCCATGTTTGCGCGCCCCCGACCCAAAAGGGGTGCCCGAAAGGTGCGCGCCCGCCAGGTCTTCGGAGACCAGGACATTTCAGGCCAGGACTCTGCGAGATCCAGCCGGAAAGGACCTGGCTGGCTGGCTGCGCCGAGCATCTGGAACGACGCGTGGGCAGAAGAGCGCATCAAGCAGCGGCGAAGCGTCCTGCCGTGCCTATAGGCATACCAAACAATGTTCTAAGGGCCTTATGTGGTTTCCACGAAATGTTCTTATGACATCTCTGGATGGGACTGTCTTGTTTTAGAACATCGGGCTCATGCTCTAAGAACATTGCTTTTGTTTTTCGAGCTCTCTTGGGTTCTAAGTTCTAAGATCCTTTCGTGGTAGGCCGATAGGAATGCCGGGACGGTCGGTCCCCGCATTGGCAGCTCTTCGTGGCAATCTAGAGTACACCCGCTCGACTGTGAAGCAGAAGCACGGTGCGCATGACCGTGAAGCAGGAAACACAAGGGGAGCGCGACGGGAAAGGGAGGAGGGCGGCGAGGGAAGGACCTCCATTGGAGGATGTGCCGCCCTTTGTGGGTCCCAGAAACGGCAGGGCCGTTTTTCACCGTTTCCAAAAAAATTGCCCTTGAAAATGGAAACGGCAAAAACACGGCGACCGGAAACAGGAAACAACGGCTCCAGGGTTGGAACCGGAGCCGGAACCGGTCAACAAACGGCTACGGAACCGGTGAAGAAACGGCGTCGGAACCGGCGACAAAAACGGCAGAACGGAACCGGAAAAAAACCGGCCATGTCGTCTCCAGGGCCCACTAAGGTGCCGCCCCACGTCTGCAGCCTTCTCGGGTGCGCCGGCGTCCTGGTGCCTCAAAGCCGCCAGCCTCAGCAGGGAAGTGCGGGGGCCTCGTGCGCCCTCGCAGCTCCGTGTCTGGGGTACGCCAGCGTGCGCGCGCTAGCGTCTTGCAATCGACGAGAGGAGGCGTCGACTCGCGTCGGCCAGCGTCGCTTCGCAAGAGTTAGCAGGATGGCACGCGAGGCTCCCGTGAGTTGTGGGTTGCCACTGGGCCCGTTTGATTACGGGGCCTTGAGTGCCCTGGCCAGATCCATGCCTTGCTGGAGCAACCTCTAGAAGCGCTCGGGAAGCCGACCGACTGAGATCGTGAGCGTTTTTCGATTCGTTCTTTTGCCGATCGGCGCGGACCCTCGCAACCCTCCCCCCCCGTGAAGTAGATCTTGGTTGTACGGCCCCAGACAGCCGCATTGAGCAGAGGTCCGGAGCCAGACCCACCCCCCCTGCCCACCCCTTCCGCCCAGTGTCGAAACGCCGAAGAGAAAACGTTCGCATCAATTCGGATGCAAATCCTGGGAGGTGAAATTCTGATTTTGCCCTGGTCCGAAATCCGGCTTAATCCCAGCTTAATCCGGCTTAATCCAGCTTAATCCCGCAGAATCTCGCTTAATCCGGCTCAATCCTGCTTAGTCCGAGGCCCATTCCGGCGTAACAGCTCCCAAATTCACCACCCACCAAACCACCCCAACCCAACCCGAAGGCTCAGATTTACCCTCGATTTCTAGTGGGGGGGGGTCCGGGAACGTCGAAAAAACACGTATGGAACCCTTACCCCCCCCAACCCGAAATTCGGGCCTTCGGGTTGGGTTGGGGTGGTCTGGTAGGTAGTCACAAATGGGGCTTAATCTTTTTTGTTCCGACGAAATTTTCCAGCTGTTGCCTCCCAACATCAAGGGGCCCCCACCTCCTCGCGTCGTGACGACATCACGACGGACGGTGCTGGGCCGCCTCCGGCTTCTGGTGGCTCTGGCTGGGCCCCCGGGACCGTCGAGAAATAATTCATGATGAACAGCCGACCGGGCGAGGAGGGGGAGGGCGAGGACGGAGGTTGATTGAAAGGAGGGCGGCATAGAAATAGAGAGAGAGAGGAGAGGAAATCATGAATCACTATTGATCAACAGGCCCGTAAATCACCACCCACCAAAGCACCCCAACCCAACCCGAAGGCTCAGATTTACCCTCGATGTCCAGTGGGGGTGGCGGGAAACATCGAAACAACACACGTGGAACCCTTACCCCCCCCAACCCGAAATTCGGATCTTCGAGTTGGGTTGGGGTGGTCTGGTAGGTAGTCAGTCAGCAGACAGCTATAGACATGGAGGGACAGCTGTGTGTGCATTTAGAGATACAACATAGATGTACCCATTGAACGTCAGAGGGAGCGAAAGAGAGAGAGAGAGGGAGAGAAGGGCTGAGAGACATAGATAGAGAGAGAGAGAGAGAAATAACACGAACATCAAATCATATAGGCTGATTTACTGACATGTATGACCACAGGTGTAGTCATTCACGTATACAAATACATGCATTTGCTCACACAATATATACAGATAACACGAAGCACGGAAAACAAATAATGAGAGAGACATCTGAGGATACATATATATATATATAGAGAGAGAGAGAGAGAGACCCCCACACATACATACACATACACATACACATACACAAACAGTTGAGAGAGGGAGAGAGATGCGAGAGAGAAAAAGAGAGATCCAATAATAAAAGTGAGGGATGATGGAGGGAGAGAGAGAGAGAGAGAGAGACAGAGAGAGAGAGAGAGAGAGAAAGAAGGGACAACAAAAACATAGAGAGATGGAGGGGTGAGGGGAAGGGTGAGGGGCAGGGGCAGGGAACGGCGGTAGAAGGGTAGAGAGGGAAACACATAGAGAGAGAGAGAGAGAACGAGAGACAGCGAGAGGGAACAACAGGGAGAGAGGCACAGAAAGAGAGAGAGAGAGAGAGGCAGCGAGAGAGAGAGAGAGAGAGAGAAAAAAAAAAAAGGTAGAGAAGGAGGACTGAGGGTGGAGTCGACGTAGTCAGAGCAGGACGTTGCATTCGACTCCAAGACGTCGGCCCGCACGCTTCGCTCGGAGGACGAGAGAACGGATGAGGGAGAAGGGGGGTAAGTAGGAAGATGGGGAAGGGTAGGAGGAGCAGCAGTAGCAGCAGCAGAAGGAAAAGGAGGAGGGCCCCCGAACATGAGGTCATGGCGTGGGCACTGGCTCGAGGATGTCGGCCCGCATGTTGATGGCCATGGTGTTCTCCATGGCGTGCTTCATGGCAATACGGACTGGAGGGAGCCGCTTCTTGGAAGCCTCTGTGGAGCTACGGAGATCTCTGGGGCCTGAGCACCTCCCAGGGCGGAAGGATGGGAAGGGCGAGGCGAAGCGTATCAACGGGCGAGAGGTTTCAGGGTCATGGGACAGCTTTTCAAGAGAAATTGCACCTTCCCGATCCCTCTGGGAGTCTCGGTTGCACCTCCGCGAGATTGGCTTCAGCATCGGCGCGGGTGCACCCGCGTGTCGAGAATCGTTCTGCTCCAGTCTGACCCTTGCATAATCCAGCTTGGTCCCGATCAACTGGCTCAAGCTTGGGCGCCGTCGGGTTCGATCCGGCATGATGGCCCCGCAACCGGATTCAACAGTCCTTGATCGTTCCGGCGAAGACCTCCCAGGACGCTCGTTGCTGCAGAGGGGCGGGAACGGCAGTAAGATGGCGGCCGAGTCTAGCCGTGCATGGCATCCAGGGGAGCAGCCAGGGGGGGAGAGGAAGACCGTGAGGGCTGGCGGCGGCCTCCTCCGAATCCTCCTTCTCCCCCCCTCCCCAATCCCCACTCCCCCCCCACCCCCTCCCATCCCCCCACCCCCCCCACCCCACCACCCATCATCCCCACCCCGACCCGCCCCATGCCCTCCCCATGCTCCCATCCCCATCTCTGCCATCTTACTGCCATCTTACTGCCATCCCTGCGGCTGCGCGTGACATCTCCTTCGTTTTTCGTTTCGTTCGCCTCGACCTGACACAGGATGGCGATCAAGAAGTGCCGCGGGGGGCGTCCACAGCAGCGCCCTGGGCGATTCTGAATAGATGTAAGACCGGCATGTCCCTCTACACGAGGAAAATTCAAAAATGGTCAAAAAGTCGTCTGGGGACGATGTGTTGATTGTTGTAGACAAGCTTTGGATATTTCTGTTTTGACTATCTTTAGTGTTTCGTCCCAAATCCGCCTGTAGGAGGACATGCCCGACCTAAGAATATGAATTGGGCCCCGGGCCTGCTTGGGGGCGTCGTCGTCATGCAGATCGCGTGAACCGCCTCGCTCGTCCCCGTACGGTGTCCTTACTGCGGCGTGCCCGTCTGGCCGTAGCGGTTGGGAATGTGTTCGTGTGCTCGTGGCCAGCGGGAGATGTCTGGAAGGTTTTCGAGGGTTTTCTTGTCACCTGTGGCCGAGCTGGATCCAGATGCCTCTTCGGGACGCCTCCCGGTCTCTCTTCGGAGGCATCTCGGGTGCTCCTTGGCGGCAGTGGACCAGGTGCCTCTGTGGAGTCTTGTGGGAGGCCTCTCGGGAGCCTCTTGGCGGCATCTGTGCGACCTCCTGTGGACCTTTTTGGGGGCCTCCTCTGGCACCTTTTTGGGGGCCTCTGGGGGCCTCTGGGGGGCTTCGTCAGCCTCGACGTGTGAGTTTCGAGGGCGGCCAGGAGGGGGGTGACGACTGGGGGGGTGGATATCATAGCGGGGGCCATGATATCTCCCCAGATTTCACGGCGCCTCGTCTTATTTCGTCACGTCCCCGCACCCCCCCCTCCCGGGCCGCGTACATGCCGCCAGCCATGATTTTCGCCCCCCCCCCCCCCTCTTGGACGCCCCCCTCTTGGCCGCCCCCGACATGTGAGGTTGGATTCCCCCCTCTCGGAGCCTTCACAGGGGGCCTCTGCAACTCTCGCGGGGAGCCTCTTGGACTCCTCTCGGAGTCCTCTCGGGGCCTCTGTGGCCGTCTCGAATCGTTGTCGTCGTCGTCTGGGTGCTGTTTGGGGAGCCTCTTGGGCGGTCGTCGGCGGCCTCGGTCGGAAACCTGTACGGGCGGTAACGCCAAAATCTCCCCAAATCCTTCGAAATCCTTGGCAGGATCAATGATGTGTTCTTCTCGGGGCCATCTTCGGGCCTTGTTGGAGCCGTCCTGGGTGCCTCTTGGGCCGTCTTGGAGCGCTATTGGCCTGCGGCCGCGGGGCCTGCCACCTTTTTGGTGCCTTCTTGGGGCTCACTTGGGGCCTCCAGCGCCGCGCCCAGGAGTTCCAGCATCTGTGATCTGGACCTGGCCAGGACTTGCCTGGGATTTTACCCAGAGTATTTTTCGTCCAGGGACGCTCAGGGGCCGTCACCCGCACGCGAATTAGAAATGTAATGACCCATCGCTGAAGATTATAGCACTCCTCTGGTCCGTTTGGGCGGCGAATCTGGTCGTCCTCTCCAAAAGTATTCTCTCAGCGACATAATTTGTAACGATCGTCCACCCATGTTTTGTCTCAACTGTCATCCTAGATAAAGTCCGGAACTTGACGGTCGCGCGCCATGTGAGATGCAATGTGCCAGCGTTTGGACACCACAGTCCATGGCGATGGCCTCAGTTTCGAATGAAGTTAGATGCTCCTATAGGCATGTTTCTTTCCATCCCTCGCTGTTCGATCTCGCCCTTTCGGCACTGGAGGATGGCACAAGGCGTTCCGTAATTAGAGGAAAACGTCCCGACTCGAAATGCCGATGCTTCACTCCTGAGGTATTTCCTATGATTTCTGTGCCTCTCATTGGGCCAATCGCGAGTATGTTCTTTGACAATAGAATTCCCTTGCGGCCTTGCATTCTTGGAATCGCCTATGCGGCCCAAGGTTCAGCCAGATTGTTACAGGGTTGCAATTCGCGTTCCCGCAGCCACTGTCGAAACCACCGAGGGGACACTGGAGGCAATTTCTGACACCATTCGGATTCGTGGGCCTTCTTTGGGGGGCTTCTAAGGCTAATGTTCCGACGCCTTCTTGGGAGTCTTTGGGGCTGTCTTGGCGGTCTTCGGGACATTTCGAGGGGCATGCGGGGCCATCCGGGGTGCGTCTCGGCTTTTTGGGTAATCGTTGACTTGTCTCTTTCAAGAACATGTTGGGCCCTCCTAGCACTATCGCACGGCGTTCAAAGTTCTGTGGAAACGACAGGATCGAAAGTTCTACTATCATAGAGTATTGTTAGGTTGTAACATGAGGTTGGCCGCTCGGCGGCCTCGAAGAGATCCAGGGCAACCTTGGAGCTCAACATCACGCAAACCAGCACAGTAATTAGCACAGTAATTATAACTTAGCTCTGGAGTTAGATTGTCTACAGCTCTTCCACTGTTGCCAGCCTCAAAACGACATACCTCTGAAGTTAAATGAGTCTATTGTTCGTGTTTCCCCGCCCCCCATAATCACTTAACTCCGGAGTCAAGTCATTCCCTATGCGTTTTTGCCCTTCACCTGGCGGGGAAAAGGAAGCACACGGAAAGAAGGAAACGGAACAAGACCGAACAGGACAACATGAACGGGGAGGGAAACGGGAGGAAACGAGAGGGACAGGGGAGGGAAACGGAAGGAAACGAGAGGGAAAAGGAAGGGGAACGGAAGGACATGTGACGGAAAAGGAAGGGAAACGGAAGGAAAAGGGGAGGAATCGGAAGGAAACGAGGGGGAGTTGTAAAAGGCATCGGAAGGAAACCCGACGGAAAAGGAAGGACAAGTAAGGAAACGACAGGGAAAATGGCACGGAAGGAAAAGGGAAGGAAACGGAAGGAGGAAACGAGAGGGAAGTTATATTCAGTCAGTCTTATCCCGTTTGGTGATCCAATGCCCCCTCGCTCTTCCATTTGTGCTTCCTTCATCTCTCCTGGAAAATGTCCACTGAAGTCACCGACGCCGTCGTTGTCGCGCCAGTCGTCCACGCTGACTCGGTCTCACACCCAGATGTTCACAGAAAGTGTTCTTCAGCCAGAAGCGGACAGGAGTATGATATGTACACATGGGGAGCTCCACGCAGCGAATCATGTTTCAAGTTCCGCCTCCCGTTGTCTTGCCCAGCGACTGGCGGTGGGCATACCTGCTCGTCGCGCCCTCGCCGAACAGTGGGGCGGGGGCGAATGGGGGGCCCTGCGCCTATAGATCGCCCGGGCAGGGCCTACCCCAGGCCTGCCCTGGGGCCAACCCCGCAGCCAACCCAAAGCTTACCCCAGGGCCCACCCGTAGGCCTACCCGGGCATAGGGCCGTCCCCTAGGCCTACCGTAGGCTTGCCCCCCTGGGCGTACCCTTTGGCTCACCTTCGGCCTACTCCAGGGCTTACCATTAGGTCTACCATTGAATTTCCCCCAGGGCCTACCCCCAGGGCCTACCCTCGGCCTACCCTGGGGCTTACCCTTAGGCCTACTCCTAGGCCTAGTCCTGAGGCCCCAGGCCTACCCTTAGGCCGACCCTACGTCTACCCTAGGATTACCCCAACCCCTACCCCGGGGACTATCCCTAAGGCTGCCTTAGGCCTTGCCCCTAGGGCTACATCTAGGCTGTACCCTTGCCCTACCTTAGGCTTTTGGGTAGGCCCTACCCCTGCCCTGCCCTCCGCCCTTGGGTAGGCACTGCCCTTGCCCTGCCCCGGGCCCATGGGCAGGGCCGTTGGGAAGGGCCTACCCCGGGCGACACCGGGCCCTTGGCTACCCCAGGCCTTTGGGTAGGGCCTAGGGTAGTCTTCCGCCTGGGCGGGCTATATCGCTCTGCAGCGACCTTCGCGCTCGAATGCAACGTACGTGGACGAGGAAAAAGTGCACGGGTAAACCTCGCGTAGGAGCCCCCTGCCACGGCGCAGCGGGATCTAGAGACAGCAGATGTTTCGGGGCCCCCTTGTAGGCTGCCCGGTCGAAGAAGCCGCCCGTTCCATATCCCCCGCAGGCGCCGAGTCCAAAGCTGATGCGATTAAATGTTCGAATAACTCGCATGCAAACATTTTATTTGGGGTACCATGTGAGCATCTTGGGGCCATATGATCGACTTGGGGCCATACAACGTTACGCGGGCGGCCACGATTCAACCCAAATGTAAAGTATAGCCCACGCATGCATCCGAAGATGATGCGGTCAAGCGTTTTGCGCCATACCTCGGAATGGATCATTCGGCAGGACGTGCTCGACGAGCACCAGGGGTGCGCGCCAAGTAGCGGAGCTGCATCCTGAAGCGCAAGATGCGCATGCGCAAGCTGCAGAAGTACAAGCGAGCCATGCCAATA